AATTCGAACAAGGGCTTGGTGGGATTGTTTGAAGAGCTTGGCCCATGCACATGTGACTGGGCCCAATGGAACTTGGACCGGGTCATTGCGTGGGTCCTAATCCATGCACACATCACGTGTTGATCGAGGACCGTATCAGGAAGTGAAGCGCATGGAACCAAATCGATTCGATGTTCAATTCCCCTAATTGGTGGTAGTCCACTTGGAATCTCATTGAGGAAAACGTCATCGTATTCCTACACAAGAGAGGCCATACTTGATGGTAAAGTGTTAGCAAGGTCACTTGTAATAAGCATCACCTCTTTGCACAAGAGTACAAAGATAGGTGTATTAATACTTAAAGTTTTCCTCTCTACATTGGCTTTTATCAATAGATTTTGCCTTCTCTCTTTTCTTTCCTCTTTGGCCGGATCACCATTTGCCTTTTTCCACTCATTTTTCTCAGCCTTTTCACTTTCTTTTGAGCTCTCGGCTTTTTCTTTCTTCTTCCTCTCACTCTCTCGCTCACTTTCTTTTATCAAACTCTCTTGACCCTCACAAACTTGGCGAGGAGTTAGTGGTACAAGAACAATCCTTTTTTCGGCTTGCTTGAAGGAGTACTTGTTTGTAATGCCATCAAAGGTAACCCCTTTGTCAAATTGCCACGGTCTTCCCAACAATATGTGACACGCTTGCATCAGGACCACGTCGCACAGCACCACGTCCTCATACCTCCCAATTTGAAAAGGTACTTGAACTTGCTTGGTCACTCAAACATCCCTACTATCATTTAACCATTGCAAACGATAAGGTGTTGGATGTCGTAGAGTTGGTAGTGCTAGTTTCTCCACCATTAATGCGCTCGTGACATTAGCACAACTTCCTCCATCTATTATCAAACTACACACTTTGCCTTTTATGTAGCATCGCGTGTAGAAGATATTCTCCCTTTGCAAGTGGTCGTCTGCCTTAACTTGTGTTGCTAAAGCTCATCAAACAACAAGTCCAACACATTCATGGACCGGCAATGCTTCTTCTTCTTCCTCTTCTTCAATGAGTGATGGCATCTCCTCATATTCGTCCTCATCATCGGTGACAAATTCACCACTTGACAAGATGATCATAGTGCGTTGGTTCGGGCATTGACTAGCAATGTGCCCTCAGCCTTGGCACTTAAAACAATTGGTGTCTCGGTTCCTTCCTGTGCTTGACTCAATGGCAGTCTTGGGTGTTGTTTTAGACTCCTATTTAGTCGAATCCGGTCTTGATCTTGAGGAGGTAGAACTAATTGCCCCTTTTTCCTCCTTCTTTGGTAGTGTATTTCGAGGATAAGAGGGTGAAAAACTAGTGTAGTTCTTTGGCTGACCCCTTCTCTTTAATCTCCTCTAAATCTTGATGGCCTTCTCCACCAAGTCTCCGAGCTCCACATAATGTTGTAACTCCACTTGTTCTGCGATTTTGGCCCTTAAAGCGTTCAAGAAGCGGGCCATTGTTGCTTCCCAATCCTCCGTGATGTCCGCTCTCAACATGAGTATCTCCATTTCCTTGTGGTAGTCCTCAACACTTCGAGCTCCTTGAGTAAGAGTTTGAAACTATTGGTACAAGTCACGGTAGTAATGACTTGGTACGAAATGCTTCCTCATTAGATACCTCAACTTGGTCTATGTTTGTACGGGGGGTCCCCATTCCTCCTTCGACTAGTAGAGATTTGAACCCACCACACAACGGCATAATCGGTGAATTTGACCATTGCCAACTTTACTTTTTGCTCCTCCGAGTAGGTATTGCAATCAAAGACAAGTTCGATCCGTTTCTCCCATTCCAAATATGCATTGGGGTTTGACCGTCCTTGGAAGAGTGGAATTTTCATTTTAATGCCTTTGATATCACTTGATGGTCTAGCATCCCGCTTGGTTCTCCTTTGCTTAGGTTTGTATTCGTCGCCCGAATTAGAGTTGCTAGACTCATGCACGTACATCTTTCCATGGTTGCCCTTAGAACTCCCTTGCGACATGTCCAAGCTATCAATGCGCTAGTGCATCACCTCCAACTTTTGGTCCATCATTCGCCCCAATTCTCCTTTTATTGCCTCTGTAAAAAGCTTGAAATCAAAAGCTTGGGAACTTGTTCCTCCCTCGTTAGTCATAGTGAAGTGTAAGTCACGAATTGAGTAGTGAAGAGAAGTAATTTACCTCACACACTCCCTCACGTGTATGCCCTCACTCTCGTGTTTTGTTTTCACTCACACTATCCTCTTTAATGATCTCACCAATTTAATTTTCAAGGCCCCTCGTTCAACTCCTTAAAGAAAGCCCTTGAACTGTTGAACTTTTGAAAGCCCAAGAAAGAGAGGCTGCTGTGTTCGGGAATACCTTCAGAGATCAGGGTTGGCACTTTGATATTTGGTATCAGAGCTAACCTAAAGGGAAAGGTTCTCTCAACCTTTGTTCTCATCTTATTATTTTTATGAATATTATCAATGAATACCAGGCTAATATGGAGTGGATGCATCTGTTTGATAACTATGATGCATGGTATAGGTATATTCGTAATCATATTTTCCAAGGTGAACATTATTGTGCATATGAAGATTGTAGTGAAAAAGATTGTTATATGTTAGTAGAAATATACCAGAGTGAGATTGATAGTCTTTCTGAATATTTACATGCTTGGTCTTATTCTATTGTTAATTGTCGAGTTAAGATTGATTTACTTAGTCATCGTCTTTTTACTATTAAGTCTATGAGAGTTATGAAAGAAGAATTTGACAAGAGTAAGAATAGTCGAGTTATTACTGATAATGATTTGAAAGTTAAAAGAGTTTGAAAGAGTATTGTATTATCTGCTATAATGTCTACTTCTAGTGAGCTTGTATTAAATAAAACTAATAGTAATAAATTAGATTATTTGTATGAAGCCTCTATTGAACCAGAGGTGGTTAATCCTGTAAAGGTAATAAGGAAAACCCTAAGAAAACCCTACAAGAGTGGTCGGCCACCTTGACACCAAGATGGGCAGACCCATGCTTCTACTACGCAGTGAATCCAACCCTAAGCCACATTAAGGCCTAACCCCTATTCGGTCCAATCATTTGGAGGCCCACTTGAGTCTTCATGGGTTTGGATCAAGGTATAGATCACTTGATTGTCTCTTTCCAAGCCTTCAATATCTCTATGGACTCCATGTTGGCCTTGGACAATTCGAACAAGGGCTTGGAGGGATTCTTTGAAGAGCTTGGCCTGTGCACATGTGACTTGGCCCAAAGGAACTCGGACCGGGTCATTGCGTAGGCCCTGATCCATGCACACATTAGTCCCCTCCTCTTGAGAAGGATTTGCCCTCAAATCTGGATCCTCCTCATCAAGAAACGGGCTCAAATCCGGGACATTGAAGGTTGCGCTAACATTGTACTCTCCAGGGAGCTCCAATTTGTAAGCATTGTCATTAACTCGTTGGAGCACTCGAAAGGGTCCATCACCTCTTGGGGACAACTTGCTTTGTCGTTGCTTGGGGAATCTCTCCTTTTGCAAGTGTAGCCAGACCCAATCTCCAGGCTCAAATACCATCTTACGACGGTGCTTGTTTGCTTGCTGGAGGTATTGTTGAGTACGCCTCTTGATGTTTGCCCGAACGGCTTCATGTAACCTGCGCACAAATTCAGCATTCTTTTTCCCATCTAAGCTTGTGTGCTCGGAGGAAGGTAAAGGTACTAAATCAAGGGGGGTCAACAGGTTAAAGCCATAAACAATCTCAAAAGGTGAGTAGTGTGTAGCACTGTGAACAGTTCAATTGTAGGCAAATTCAACATGAGACAAGCACTCTTCCCAAGTTTTAAGATTCTTCTTAATCAAAGCCCGAAGTAGTGTGCCAAGTGTGTGATTGACAACTTCAGTTTGTCCATCGCTTTGTGGATGACTGGTGGTGGAGAATAATAACCTAGTGCCAAGTTTAGACCACAAAGTCTTCCAAAAGTAACTCAAAAATTAGACATCTCTATCACTAACAATGGTTCTAGGCATACCATGCAGATGGACAATTTCTTTGAAGAACAAATTAGCAATATGAGATGCATCGTCAGTTTTGTGATAGGGGATAAAATGAGCCATCTTAGAGAATTTATCAACCACTACAAAGATGGAGTCATTTCCCCTAGGTGACCTAGGGAGTCCTAAGACAAAGTCCATGGACAAGTCTACCCAAGGATAGTGGGGAATAGGTAATGGGGTATACAAGCCGTACGGATTTGTTTTAGACTTCGTCTTATGACAAGTGGCACATCTACCAACCATGCGTTCAACATCTCGACGCATGTGAGGCCAGTAAAAATGCTCTTGTAACATGGCTAGGGTCTTAACCATGCCAAAGTGACCCATGAGACCACCACTATGTGCCTCCCTAACCAAAAGACCACGGACGGAAGAATTAGGCACATACAGTTTATCCACATGAAATAGAAACCCATCATGCAAGAATTACTTTCCATGTGGGTTCTTAACACACATAGCATATATGTCACCAAAGTCATGATCATGTGTGTAGAGCTCTTTAATCATCTCGAACCCTAATAACTTAGCATCAAGGAAGACAAGCAAGGAATGTCTATGTGATAAGGCATCAGCTACCACATTCGTCTTGCCAGTCTTGTACTTAATCACATAGGAGAAGGTGTCAATGAAGCTTACCCATTTGGCATGTCTCTTGCTCAATTTAGATTGCCCCTTGAGAAACTTCAGTGACTCGTGATCAGTGTGTATCACGAACTCTCGAGGGCGAAGATAGTGTTGCCAGGTCTCCAAGGCCCTCACTAGTTCGTACAACTCCTTGTCATACGTGGGGTAGTTTAAGGCAGCCCCTCCCAGTTTTTCGCTAAAGAAGGCACAAGGCCTTTTGTCTTGCATGAGGACAGCGCCAATACCTACACCAGAAGCATCACATTCGGTTTCAAAAGTCTTGTTAAAGTTTGGTAATGCTAAAACAGGTGCATATGTGAGCTTGTTTTTTAGGGTAAGAAACGTTTGTTCTTAGGCTTCCCCCCAATGGAACTTGTCATTCTTCTTGGTCACGGCGGTCATTGGGGCGACACTGGTGCTGAAGTCCTTGACAAAGCGCCGGTAGAAGCCTGCCAATCCAAGAAAGCTGGGCACCTCAGGGACGGATGTAGGAGTTGTCCATTGCTTGATGGCCTCAATCTTGGACTCGTCCACTTTGATACCCTGCGAACTTACTACATAGCCCAGAAACACAAGTTCATTAGTACAAAAGGTGCACTTCTTAAGGTTAGCGTATAAGCGCGCCTTTCGAAGTGTCTCAAGAACTAGTCTCACATGCTCCAAGTGCTCATGTTCACTGCGACTATATATCAGAATATCATCAAAGTAAACTATGACAAATTTGCCAATAAACTGTCTCAAGACATGGTTCATTAGTCGCATGAAGGTGCTAGGGGCGTTAGTCAACCCAAAAGGCATGACTAGCCACTCATAGAGACCATGCTTGGTTTTGAAGGCCGTTTTCCATTCATTGCCTTCTTTCATCCTAATTTGATGATAGCCACTCCTTAAATCGATTTTGGTGAATATTATAGCACCATCGAGTTCATCAAGCATATCATCTAATCTAGGAATGGGATGGCGATATTTAACAGTAATAGCATTGACAGCCCTACAGTCAGTGTACATGCGCCAAGTACCATCCTTTTTGGGAACAGGTACCACAGGCACAACACAAGGACTGAGACTCTCTTTTACCCAACCCTTACCTAATAGGCCATCAACTTGCCTTTGAAGCTCCTTTGTCTCCTCAGGGCCCATGCGGTAAGCAGGTTTGTTGGGTAGTGGTGCTCTAGGAATGAGGTCGATTTGGTGCTCAATCCCTCGAATGCGTGGTAAGCCATCAGGGACTTCGTCAGGGAAAACATCCTCAAATTCCTGCAAAAGAGCAACCATACTCGAAGGCAATACCTTATCGAGTTTAGCAACATCCAAGAGCACATGCTTGCAAATCATGAGAAGTACAGGCTGATCAGAATTTGACAACTTTTCTAACGTCCTTAGCCTTAATGATCATGTTTTGCTTCCTAGTGGTAGGTGTAGTGGGTGATTTGTCATGTGTAACACTAGGTGTGCTCACTTGACCCTTGGTCGATGGCTCACTTGCAGAAGTGGAGCCATTGCCAAGGGTCGACCGCCTTTTGTTTCCTCCTTTGACGGTCTTGTTCACACTCTCTTTGCAACTTAAGTTGGTCCTCATACACTTGTGCAGGTGTAAGTGGTGTGAGAACCTTGCGTTTGCCATCATGCAAGAGTGTGTACTAGTTTGCCTTTCCGTCGAATGTGACGTGATTGTCAAATTGCCAGGGTCTCCCCAAAATGACATGGGTAGCATGCATAGGCACAATGTCACAAACAACTTCATCAGTGTAAGTTCCAACGGAAAAGAGAACGCGTACCTGTTTGAAGACACGTACCTCTCCATCCTCACTTAGCCATTAGAGACGATAAGGGTGTGGATGTTTAGTAGTTAGGAGTCCTAAACTCTCAACCATGAGTAAGCTTGCCATATTCGTGCAACTCCCACCGTCGATGATGAGGCTACACACCTTGTCACCTACTTTACAACGGGTGTAAAACAGGTTCGTCCTCCTTAACTCGGGTGATTAGCACTCGTCGTACCACTAAGCACCCGACTTCTCCTTGTGTAGGTGAGCAATCTTCCTCAGCTGAGTCTTCATCCAGGCAGTCGCCTTTGATTAATTCGGGTATCTCCTCACAGTCGTCATCATCGGACTCGATCTCGCCATTGTGAGTGATTAGCATGACCCGTTGGTTTGGACATTGAGACTAAATATGTCCAAACCCTTGGCACTTGAAGCATTTGATGTCCCTACTCCTAGTCTTAGGAGTCTTATGTGGTGCCTTAGAAGTAGACCTGGATACATCGGTAACTTTGTTAGAGGTGGAAGAGGAATTTTGGTTAGGAACATTACCTTGAATTCGGCTTGAAGAAATTGGTGTAGCCGAATATCCAGTTTCGTGGGTTGCCCTCCGTGGTTGGTTGCCCTTCCATGAGGTCGAGTTGGAAAACTGGAAGGTACGGGCTCCTCGTCTTAGTTTCTTTCCCCTCTCGGCCCTAATAGCGAGTTCAAGAAGGTCATGCATGTCCACATAGTATTGAAGCTCCAAGGCTTCTTGAAGGTCTGGGTTGAGGCCTCGCAGAAATCTAGCCATGGTTGCTTCACTATCTTCTTGAAGGTTCGCCCTCATCATGGCCATCTCGATCTCCTTATAATAGTCCTCCACACTCATGTTGCCTTGAGTGAGGGTTTGCAGTTTGGAGTGGAGATCTCGGTTGTAGTAGCTTGGAACGAATCTTTTACGTATCAACGCCTTGAGCTCTCGCCAAGTTCGGACTCGCGATTCCCCCATTCTCCTCCTATGGGTCCTTATTTGGTCCCACCAAACTAGGGCGTAGTCGGTGAACTCAACGGTGGCAACTTTAACTTTTTGTTCCTTGCTATAATCGTAGCAGTCGAAAACCATCTCGATGCGGTCTTCCCACTCCAAGTACGCCTCAGGGTCACTCTTGCCTTTGAACGTGGGTACTTGGATCTTAAGTCCCTTTAGTTCGTTCTTGGGTGTGTCCCTTCGAGGCTTCTCGGGTCGTTCCTCATCTTCACTAGCGGAGTAGTCTTCACTGTTGGCCGTTTTGGGACCTCGGTTGCTCCGGTTGTGAGATCTAGAACGAGAGCCTCGTGTGAGACTCTTGGATAGCTCCTCAAAGCGGGTGTGTAACTCCTCCATTTGTTGTTCACTGATGCGCCTAAGCTCATTCTTCATTGCGGTGAACAACAATGAGTAGTTGGTGGTTGCTAGTTGTTGCTCTATGTCTCTCGTGGTGTCCTGCAAAAGGTTAGTAGCAAGGCAAAAATGCAAGTATATCCTCACTTCAGTCCCTTAGTGTATCACTCACTCTTGTGTGTGTCACTCGTTAGCACCCTTAATGGACTTACCAACGCCTTTATCTGTTGGAGTAGGTAGTTGAGAAATATCGCTCAAGTCCAACAATTTGTCACCAACTTACCCTCAAGAGTATTCAAGGATGTCGGACACAATTGGTTGAGATTTTTGAGATGGAAAGGACGAAATTTTGAGAAGGTTATGGGTGGCGGACAGATTTGGTAATAATGCTAAGGAAGGAAACCCTAGGTGTCCTAAGATGTAAGAGTGGTTCCTAAAACATAGAAGTGAAAGTAGGAGTGGTTCCTAAAACGTGGGAGTGAAGTAGGAGTGGTTCCCTAAAGCAAGGAGAGAAAATAGGGAAGTGTCCAAGTGAAACAAGGAGTTATCCAAGTATTGTACTTAGTTTCCTAAACTAATTGGGGAAACAAATCAGTTTTGGAATCTCCCTTGAAGACCCCTCTTGAACAACTTTTGGCAACTTCCAATTTCTTCTCCAAATCAGATTCGGCCTCTCTTCCTTTTGACCGAAGCTTTCCAGAATTTTCTCCTTCTTAAACCCTTCCCCAAAGTCGGCTATTCCCTTATAAAACCCCTCTCCTCACAGCCGCACCTTACTCCCAAAAATTCGGCTCTCTCTACTCCCAAGAAACAAGCAACTCGGCCCTTCCCCTTCCAAGGCAGCGTTGGTTCTTGCCTCAATACAATGGCTTCCCAAGATAACGTGAGCAATGTCACTCAAGGATCCCCCAAACGGCTTGCACAAGAAGCTCCCAAGAAATTTATTCCTAAACCAAGAAAGCCCTTTATGGATGCGAGAGGGTACAAGAAACTTTTTATTCGAAGGGAGGTGCAAGTTTTCAAGGCTCAAGATGATCAAGAACCTCAAGAGCCTCAAAGGGTGGTACAAGTGATCAAGGCTCAAGGTGATCAAGATTTTCAAGAAGAGGTGGGTCAAAACTTTTGAGTGCCTTAGCCTTTATTATCATGTTTTGTTTCCTAGTGTTTGTCTTAACTAATGCTTGTTCATTTGTAACACTAGTCACATCATTATTCCCTTGGGTCGGTTGCTCAAATGCAGAGGTCGAACAATTTCCAGATTCGGCCCCTTGTTGTTTTCTCCTTTGACGGTCCAAATCATATTCTCTTTGCAATTTAAGTTGGTCCTCGTACACTTGTGAAGGTGTGAGAGGAGTTAAGACCATTCATTTACCATTGTACAAAAGAGTATATTTGTTAGACCTACCATCAAAGGTAACATACTTATCAAATTGCCATGGCCTTCCTAGTATCACATGAGTAGCATGCATGGGTATAATATCGCACATGACTTCATCACAATACGGACCAATCGAGAAAGGAAGGCATACCTGCTTGTAGACACGGACTTCGCCATTTTCACTTAACCCTTGAAGTCGATAGGGATGTGGGTGTCTAGTTGTAGGCAGCCCTAAGCTCTCTACCATGATCAAACTTGCAACATTAGTGCAACTTCCGCCGTCGATGATGAGACTACACTCCTTGTTGTTTATTTTACACCTAGTGTAAAACAAATTCTCACGCTGTAATTGCTCATCCTCCTTAATACGGGCGATGAGCACTCTCCTTGCGACCAAGCAACCAATTTCACCCTGGGTTGGTGAACATTCTTCCTCGACCGAGTCAATTTCCAAGCTCTCCTCCTTGGTCAACCTGGGCATCTCCTCACAATCATCGTCATCCGACACTATATCGCTGTTGTGAGAGATAAGTATTACCCATTGATTTGGATACTGAGATTGTGTATGTCCGAATCCTTGACATTTGAAACACTTAATGTCCCTACTCCTAGGCTTTGGAGTTTCTTGAGGGGACTTGGAAGTGGACCTAGATACATCAACTAATTTGTTAGTGGTAGAATAGGAATTTTGGTTAGGGAAGTTACCTGGTGTGCTGCTAGAAGGGCTTGGTGTAGCCGCATTCTCAAGCTCGTGTGCAGCTCCCCTGGGTGGATTTCCCCATGCACTCGAATTGGAGGTTTGGGAAGTTCGGCCTCCCCTCCTCAATTTCTTCCCCCTCTCAGCCTTGATGGCTAGCTCCAAAAGGTCATGCATGTCCAAGTAAGGTTGGAGTTCCAAGGCCTCTTGGAGGTCAGGGTTGAGACCTCTAAGGAACCTTGCCATTGTGGCATCATTATCCTCTTGGATGTTGGCCCGCATCATGGCTATCTCAATCTCCTTGTAGTAGTCCTCCATACTCATGTTGCCTTGAGTGAGGGTTTGGAGTTTAGAGTGGAGATCACGGTTGTAGTAGTTAGGAACAAATCTCTTGCGCATCAATGCCTTGAGTTCTCGCCAAGTCCGGACTCATGGTTCTCCCATTCTCCTTCGACTGGTCCTTACTTGGTCCCACCAGACTAGGGCATAGTCGATGAACTCAACAGTGGCAACCTTCACCTTTTGGTCCTCGCTATAGTCGTAACAGTCGAACACCATCTCAATACGGCCTTCCCATTCTAGGTAAGCTTCAGGGTCACTTTTGCACTTGAACGCGGGCACTTGAATTTTAAGGCCCTTGAGCTCGTTCTTAGACGTGTCCCTTCTAGGCTTTTCGGGTCGCTCCTCATCCTCCCTAGTGGAGTAGTCTTCGCTATTTGCCTCTTTGGTGCCATGGTTACTCCGGTTGTGGGATCTTGAATGAGAGCCTTGCGCGAGACTCTTGGATAGCTCGTCAAAATGAGTGTGCAACTCCTCCATTTGTTGGTCACTGATTCGCCTGAGCTCGTTCTTCATGGCGGTGAACATCAAGGAGTAGTCTGCGGTTGGTTGATGTTGCTCCATGTCTCTCTTGATGCCCTGCAAAAGGTTAGTAACAAGAAGAAATAGTGCAATATATCCTTACTTCACTCCCTTAGTGTATCACTCTCCCTTGTGTTTATCACTCAAGACACTCTTTAAAGATCTTACCCAATGCCTTTACCTGTCAGTTTAGGTAGGTGAGAAATGCTGCTCGAGCCCAATGATCGTTTACCAATTTTTCCACAAGAGTAATCGAGAGTATAGGACACAAATATGGGTGGAAACGAGATGAGATGGCCGAATTTGGAAGGGATATTGTTGGTGGTCAGCAATGGAATGTGCGTCACAAAGAAAAGAAAACCCTAGCTTTCTAAAGTGGACGAGAGAATATAGGAAAGTTTCCTAGAATGGATGAGAGAATATAGGAAAGTGTCCAAGCGAGAACAAGAGTTACCCAAGCTATCTTCTTTAGTTTCCTAATTCAGTTTGGAAAACAAGTTAGTGTTGGGAACTTCCTTAGAACACCCTTTTCCTTTATTGAACAACCTTTGGAACTTCCCAAACTCCTCTCCAAAACAGATTTGGTTTCCTTTCCTCCCTTTAGCTGAAATTTCCAGAATTGTTTTTCTTCTTAATCCCTTTCCCAAGGTCGGCTAACTCCCTATAAAATCCCTCTCTTCATAGCCGCACCTTACTCCCAAGAAATTCGGCCCTTTTACACTTCAAGGACAAAGCAATTCGGCCCTCCCCTTTTCTTCGCAAGGCAAGGCAGCGTTGGTTCTTGTCTCAATACAATGGCTTCCCAAGATAACGTGAGCAATGTCACTCAAGGATCCCCCAAACGGGCTGCTCAAGAAGCTCCCAAGAAATTTACTCCTAAACCAAGAAAGCCCTTTATGGATGCGAGAGCGTACAAAAAACTTTTTATTCGAAGAGAGGTGCAAGTTTTCAAGGCTCAAGATGATCAAGAACCTCAAGAACCTCAAAGGGTGGTATAAGTGATCAAGGCTCAAGGTGATCAAGATTTTCAAGAAGAGGTTGGTCAAAATTTTTGAGTGCTTCTTCTAGTTGTAATTTTCTGTTTTTGGGGATAACAATTCAAGAAAGAATCCGTCTAGCAATAAAACTTCGACTTTCCTTCTATTGTTGCTCTACCCGACTCCTCTTTTTCTTTTCTTTTTTTCTGTTTTGGCTTGTCAAACGACTAACACAACAACTTGGCCAAACTTGAAGTTAAATTCCAGAATTGATATGGTCCTCAATGCACACGTACAAGCCTCCAAGAATTCCCCACGCAAGTTTCAAGAACTTCAACTTGCGTTTCTGTTTTGTTTTCTCTTTTTTTTTTTTGACTTAAGGACAATTCAAATACTTGGCCCAGTGGTCAGACCAGTTTCGGACAGCCCTCTCTTTTTTTTTGTCACACAAGAAACGTTCACCCCGCAAGGTGTTGCAAGAATCTCCAAGAAACTTTCAAGAGTTTCAAGAACCCTAAAATTCTTGTAGATTTCCTTCAAGATTCGCAACACCAACAAGTTTAAACCCCAAAATCAGTTTAGAGAATTAACTAAAACGACTTGGATAACACCAAAGAAACTTGGACAGACTTGACAACAAAAGAAACCCTAGCCGCGCAAGACTCCTAGCCGCACAAAAACCCTAGCCGTCACCCTTTCTTTCTTGTGGTTTCAGCTATGACCAAATACTTGGCAGAATTGGTGCAACAAAGGGTACAATGTGAGGACCCGTAAATTTCCCTAATTTTATACTATTTATTTTATTTCCTTGCTTGCATTTCTCTTTATTATACTATTTTGATTTTTCCAGAGCTTTTATAAGTGAAAAGAATTTTAAATTCATTTTCCTAGTGTAAGTTAGTTCATGGGAAATTCGGAGTGAATATTGGACGTGGGACCCGCTAGTGCAGAAAGTTTGGTAAAATTCGGCCAATTAGGTTAAGTTGTGTATACTGGGTTTAATTTATCAGGTGCGAAGAGATAATTAGAAGTTACCTAGATGGATTATCATTGGAGAGACAAAAGGATAGAGTTGCATTAAATAAGGGTGACAAGTGTCACCTTGTGATGGATTCTTAAGTTTGACTACTATTCATAACTTTACCATTTAATTAAAATTGGCCAAAAATCATCTTCATTTCTTACCTCTCTTGGCCGAACCTCTTGCTCAAAGAAAGAGAAAAAAATCCTCAAACTTCCTACTTCATAATCTTGCTCCAATCTTCAAATCAAACCAATAAAACTTCAAATCATTCCATCAAATCTCTTTGCTAAGTGGTCTTGAGGTGATTAGTGAAGTGGTTTGGAAGATTAAGGTGCCAAGTTGCTCTTTTCCTTTGGTTACTAAGGTGAGTAGTGAAGGAACCCCTCTCCTCTATCTAATTATGTCTAATTAATAACTTGTGGTAGCCTAAGAGGTAATTTTGTGGATTATATCTTGATTTTGAGTGAAATTGGTGAAGTTTTATAATTATTCATGATTTTTCTGTTTTAATATCATTCATATGTTGTGGCCATGGATGATGATTGGAAATGATCTAGAATGAAGCTAGAAGGTGTAAATTGTGGTTAATTGCAGGAAATTTCCGCATTGAAAGGAAATTGTGGAAACTAGGGTTTCATTTCCCCTCATTCTGCCTGGTACTGTTCATCATAGTTAGGGGCCAAATTATCCTTGGATTAAAACATGAAAGTTGTAGGGAATGATATTTTAGAGATGTCTGCAAAATTTCAGGCCAATCGGAGCAACGTATCCTGTGAAAAAACCGAAATACCCCTGCTGCCCTGTTTCTACCCGAACATGCTAATCAGCTTCTGTAATTGGTTAATTTGATTGGGAATACTACCGATTTGGGTGTTGGTGTCTTCTTAAGAAATATATCCTGGTATCTTAGATTTCAGATGGCTTTGGAATCACTTGAATTGGACTTTGGTAGCCTGAATTATGGTTATTTAACCAGAATGCGGTTCGTTAACCTGTTTATGTGGTTCTGGTTTAGTACATTGAACTTTTGACTTAGTTTCACTACAAACTAGACTGAGTGGCCTTCTTCAACATTGTAGCCCTTTCTCTTAGCTTCAAAACGGTATAAGTTGTACCCCAATTTGATAAGTGTAGCTCCAGTTGTGTCCGTTCCGCTAAATGACGTCAAAACTGTCTTTTGGTTTTAGGGTTTATAATTGGGGCTTTTCTAGGGTTTCTTTGTTGAGCTACCATTTGGATGTTTTGAAGGGTATTGTGGCTCTAATTAAAGTTGTTTGATAGTTTGTGATTGGGTGTTGAGGTTTGGTTGGAAAAGTAAAGAAAGACAAGGGGAAGTGCTGTCCAAATGTTTGCAGGAGCTCCTGCGCAGTCTCGGGAGATTGCTATATCTTGATGTAGAAATGTTGGAATTCAGTTCCGTTTGTTGCGTTTTAAACTAGATTCACAGAGCTATAAACTGTGTAAATTTCAGACTCTATTTCTGTCTGTCCAATTTATGGTGGTTTTTCAAATTTGACTGAAATATTGTATCTGTTCTGTCTTCCACTGGATAAAGCAGCAACTTGTGACTTGAATTCGACTGACTTGCGTTCCGAATCTTACAATAGTGTTTTCTGGAAAGTTATAGCCCTTTGAATGCATTTTCCAACGGTATAAACTTTTATTAATTTTGAACTTACAAAACTTGAGATATGATTTTCCATATAAGGTTGCGCGGAACTGGAAAATCCTGTTTTTCTAGTATTGACCTTACTTTCATTTCCTACTTCAAATTTGGAGTTGGTCAGTCATTGTAGGTAGGGCTTTGAGGTTGTTCATGCCTTTAAGACTAATTATTACCTTTTCACTCCGAGGTCACCTCTTTACTTTGCATTAATAGTTCTTTTGACTAGGCATATGGCTCGTAACCGAGTCTCACTTGCGAACTCCATACTAGGTCTTGGAGTCGAGTCTTAAGTGTTTGTCTTGATTGTTCTAGGAGGTGCCGACGATTAAAGCCACACTTGGGAAGGAAACTTTTGAAGTTATCCTTATTTGAACTAGTGAGTGGACCACTCCCCTGAGTTATTGTTAAACTGGTTTTCTGTACTTGCAACTTGCTATGTGAATATCTTTCCTGACTGTTAATCTTGTATGAGACGAGGGTGTACTTTATCACACTCGTTCTCTTGCCTGTACTGAACGAACTGGAATCTATTACTTGTACTTGTTATGCACTTGAACTTGTTACTTGTACTTGTTATGTGATCGTTTAGAAGTGTGTACAACGATCGTCCTGTTAAACTTGATCCTTGTTAAACTTGAGCTCAACCTCATGGGGAGTTAATTAAATCGAGCCAGCAAGGGCTTGGTCGAGATAATTGACAATCCTTGGGTACCTGTTCCTGGGGAACCTTTGGGTATTGAGACTCTTGATTTCGGTATACTCGAGTATTGCCATTCCTGTTCCTGTTTGGCGTTCGGGCCCGGTAAGGGGGATGTTTGGTGAACGGGGTTTTGGCGTTTAAGTGGTGTTCTACTGGACTGGTTTCTTTATT